CCGTTGCATACAAAACGTAGCAAAACCGAGCGAAATGGGAGTTCATTATTAAAATTTCTACGCCCAACGTTCACTAATAACAACTTTCATGCCAGTAATCTGGGAAGAAAAAGATTTGGTATATTTTATGATTATATTAAGAATAATAAACGATTTGGCGAATTTCTGTTGCATTCATTATGCACAACAAGGATTACTTAAAGCTAGATTAATGTCAATAAAATTATGACTATTGAATTGGATCTAAACTAATAAGGCACGTAAGAAATAGTATTATTAATTAATAGTATTAGGCCTACTGCTACATGATACATCATAAAATTTCTTAATAACCACATTATAGTAATAAAAATAAAAAAATATATTGTATTCCAATATTCAAGTAAGGAATTTTAGAAACTGTTATTTATTGTTAGGTTATAAATAACAAGATTTAGAAGTGGCATTTGTTATCTATTCATTATATTCATAAAATTAGTTCATTCAAATATTCAAAATCGGAAACACAGCTTTAATTTTAATACATAATGTTTATTATTCATACAACAAAAATATCATGCATAATTTTAATAATTCATGCACGTCAACATTTTGTCTCCGCTCGAGGTACGTACATCGTGTAAATTGCATTAATTCATTTACTACACAACAATTTAACACGTCTGATAAGAGTTTAATTTTTTATCTTGATAGTTTTCATTCAATTCAATATTAATTTAAATCTATTTATGTATCGGTAAATTAAATGAATATAATTTTGTTAATGTTTCTACAACGAAATCTCCCATCGGATAATTAGTGTTTTTGCTATGTAACAGTTAACAGAAATGCCAGTAGAAGAAATAACTATGAGAAAATCTCGCAGTGAAATAATCAACAAAAACACTAAAATTATTTCTTGTCTTTTATCCCTTCTCAAATTAAATTTCTTCTTCATAACATGGATGGTTCGTGTAATTGAAAGGTCGGTGAGTAGCTCTTGAACTTCTAAGAGTATTTAACTCCAAATGTCATTACTTTACGCCAGTCTCACGACATTTGATTTACGGAAATAGGTAGTGAACGTCTGATTTCGTTATAATATTTAGTTTTTATAAAACATTTTCAGCGGTTATAATAGAAAAATTTAATGTTTTATATTTATTCCAAAAATAAACATTAACCTAGAATTTTAATAACATTTTATACCGGGATCAAAATTTTAGATTCCAGTAATATTTAAAGGATCATTATATAATGCCAGCACTTTAGTAAATTGTTCCTCGAGAACCGTCAGTCAATATCCGTCAGAACATTGCTTTAATTAAAAATAGCGTTTGAAATACAAAATGTAAATATTTTCGTCGTTTGTTATATGTTATAAATATTTTTAGAACTTAGAAAATACAATGAGAAGACAAAAAAATGCTTTATTAAGTAATATATTCAAAGTTTTATCTAATAAAAACTCCCGTCACTCCTTATTATCAGTGCCTCAATTACCTTTATGTTCTTCCTTTGATGTTCTGATGTCATTTCTTACATAATGTCATATTTATTACATTAATGTTATTTACTTAACAAGTATTCTTGCTAAATTTTAAGATACTATGATTGAAATATTGACTAATGATAATTCGTTTTCATGATTAATAGAGAAAATATTACGACCATCATGTAATTAGTAAGTGAAGTTTATATCAGAAATTTCTCTATGATCAAGAATACATATAAAATTTGTTAGGTTGCAAGGTAATATGGAAGACAATTGCCATAGAAAATAATTATTTTATTTTCCTTATAAGACAAATACAATTTTTTATCTCCACATTCGTTTTCTTTATTTGCTAGCCTAATTCTAACCATCTTAAACAATAAATTATCCTTTTTTATACAAATATAAATAACTAAGAATTTTTGTTTGGATTGGAATTGAAACGGAACAACAACATATCAGTTCAAAATATATTTTCATCAACAACATTCTCTTTGATGTATGCTTCACGTTTAATATTGTTATTTGGCAAAATCAAATATACGATTTTTGTATTTCTGATAGCCTTTGTTTTACTCCTATTTCAGAAAATAACGAAGTATCTTTTAAATAACCTTTTTGTTCCTCTGATTTCAAGATTTACTGTTCGAGAAAAAAAAATCTGTACCAAAGTACATAAAACACAAATAATATATCAAAAATGTTTCTCATTGCAGATCACTATATGTATACAAAAAGCAATAGACATTAGACATGTGCTTTATTAATTTAGTACGATGTCTCCACACGCATTTCAGAATACGAGCTACCAGAAACACAAAGGAATAGAAAAGCAACCAACAAAAACATTCTAAAAAAGCTCACTTTTGTTTATTGAGGTGCGAAAAATGTGATTAATATGTGCAGTTTCGGTTAAAATTTTAATTTAAAAGATTTATAGTGTATTTAACTTTGGGCGAATTAATGACTTAAGTTTATGCTTATTTATAAAAATATAAATATCTCATGCGCAGATAGCAATATATGTAGTAGCGAAATAGAAAAAACTTATCAATAAACTACAAATGTTTTAACAATTCTCTATAAGATCAGAATCTTTAATGAACAAATTTTTACCAGGTAAAGTATATTTCAGTCTTTAAAGTGAACCAGTTTTCTGACGTAATAAGATCTCTGGAGTACTTAAGCTCCTTACGAAAAGCGAACTAAGACACAAACACAAAAGTTTTAACAAATCATTTTATAACTTTCGTTCATATTGTTGTGAAGAGCAATAATAAATTTTCAATGGGTTTAAATATTTACTTATAGAATTTTACATTATGATATTTTTGTTTTAAAACTGTTTTACATACTAAAGTTTCAATTTTCATATTCGTATTTTGTATTTTTATCCGCATAGCACTTTCATTTAATTTGATATATTTTTTAAAAACTTTATGTTTAAGTTATTATGAAACAATATATAAATATTACTTTGTCTTGAAGCAAATTGCAAAATATTAAGTGTGATTTAATTAAAGTCATCTAATCTTTTTCCTACTAATCCATATTAATAAGTTTGACAGGCCCAAAAATCAAAATTATTTTTTATATTGTAATTGTTTTCTTTGGAGTATTTTTCTTATTTTTGGATTAAGATATAAAACATTGATTCTCATCGTTTTATACCCTACTTATGTGAAATAGTATTCTTTAAAAAAGTACTACATATACAGGGTGACTGGTGAATTACTATCAATATTTAAGGAGAATACTCGGTACATGATTCTCATTCGAATTATGTAAAAAAAATAGGTACTTAATTTTTGACAAAATTTCCGTATAAATAAGTAAAGTGTTGACACGTTCCAAGTGTTCAAGTGTGGACGCGTGCGGCGGCGTGCTGATACAACACTACGTCACGACACGCGTATGTGTGAGTGTCAGTGTATACCTAATCGGTAGGGTGTTCACACGATGCGTAATTAATTACATAACTTTTGGTTAACTTTACTTAGAAGTTTATTAATATTTATGTTATATTAATTTTTATTTCGTCATATATGATCGTCAAATATCACGTCCTCAAATATCGATAGTAATTCACCAGTCACCCTGTATATATATATTTAGATTTCGTCTTAGTATCGACAAATTAATGTACATACAAAATTTAGGTTTTTTACATAAATATTTAATAAGTTTTAGAAACTTAATATATATAAACATTTGTTCGATACAAACGATGTAAACAAGAAACTTGATATCTTCGTTATATTGAATAAGTAAGTTTGAAAGTGACGTCACCAAACTGGCTCACCCACCCATCTAATCCTAATTTCCTCGATCACATCCGCCACCAAGTGACTTCTGATGTCAAATCTCTTACTTCAGTTAAAGTTAAAGTAAATTTATTAATTATTATTATTTCTTTTCTTAAAAAATCCTTACTAAAATTTCAATTACATATTAAAACTGCATTATTATTATAATAAATAAAGATAAGATAAACCTTCTGACGCGACTTGTGCCCTCATACACGTTCGTCTTAGAAACGTAAGGGTAGTTTCATGATAAGAAAGTTTACGACAGGGAAACGTCCTTACTGAACTAAGATCATATTTGATAAAAATCTGAATGGTTATTATATTTAAAATTATTAATAAAATGATATTTTTTAAGATTATTTGTTTAATAATTTGCAACAAATTTTTTAAAGTTATTATTACCAATAAAAGTTTGACATATGTAGTTATAACAATAAGACCTATCATGGCAACTTTATTCATGACCCGGGGCAGTTTCTGGTACTGCTACCGGGCGCGTCCCCAGGTGGCGGATAGGGGAACGGCTCCCAGATATGGGAGCTACCGGCTTGCCGGCGCGGACCAAAACCAGTGACGACTCGGCTTGCCGGGTCGTCAAACTCGTAACCCCGTACATGGTGCGGGGCCGAGGACTGCCGCCCTCGGGCGGGGGTCGCGTGGAAGAAAACCACTCTAAAAAATTACCTCTGGCGTCGGGATGTGACGAACCCATCGCCCGTCGGGTAACACCGGCGCAATCAGTCACGGGGGGGGAATAGGACCGTTGCCCCTAGGGGTAACGGTCCTGGCCTGGGGAGGCCGTGTGGGTGTGAGTCATGCTGCTGCGAAAGCAGTGGGCATGGCTCACGGAGCTCGTAACCCCCATCTCAGCGACGTGGATCATGTCTCGCGGCTCAGTGGGGGACCGAGGGGCTTGCCTTAATTGGCCGGCCCGCGAGGAAGAAAACCTCTATAAAAAATTACCCCGAATCTCAAGTGGCGGCGCAGCGCGAGGGGATGCGTGGCTAGCGGGTGTGCTAGTCGCTACTGCGGACCAGTGCAGGATACCGGCCGACATCCTGCTACTAAAAGGCTTATCCGGGAACAGGGGGCACCTCCCGGATGGACCGTTCTTCCCCCATACTCGTGGGATCAAGTATGGAGAAATTTAAACAAAAAAAACCAACACCGATAGGAAAACACACGACGACTTTGGCAAAAGACTAACGGACTCTGAAATGCACACCGATGTAGGGACGGCGAGTGAAGGGTCGCGGACGGCTTCGCCCGTGACCACGGCATCGAGAGGGAAGTTCTTCCGCGCAAGAGGGGGAACTGACTCGGACGAGAGTGGCAGTGATACTGTCACCTCGCTACGATCGGGGTCGGAAGAGGAAGCGCAGAGACGTCGCTTCCGGAAGAGGCGGGGGAGCGACGACCCTGTACCCGGACCTGAAAAGGGCACCTCGAAGCCCTCAAAGAGGGGGAGAGGGAGACCGCCCACCACGGGCGTATACGTCGGTCTGCACCAGGCGCGGAAAGAGAAGCTTGCAGAGGAGCGAAGAGCTCAGCGCCTGGCAGAACAAGCAGAAGCGGACCGGCAAATCTCTGAAGTGACCAGAGTACTACCACAGCTACGGTCACACCGGCTGTCGGTAGTCTCACATACGGACGCGACGATGGGTTTTGAAGTTGACGAAACGACGACGGCAACGATCGGCAACTCGATCGCAAAGAGCTTGGAGGTCATAACAAAGGTGGCCACCAAATCCAAAAATCTAAGTGGTCCCTTTATTAAGGCCCTCAAAATGGCCACGATGGAGATCAGAGAATCCACTGCGACGTTACTAAGTCGCACGAGAACGGAGGAAACGAGGGCTCTTGAGGCGGCCAATGCCCGTCTCTCAAAGGAGCTCTCGGACCTACGAGAGGAGCTCGCGGCCGTAAGGCGTGAGGTCCGCAGGGCGAGCCCGGAGGCTGCCCGTGTGGCTCCTGCTGAGGAGCTCAAAGAAGTCATGGAACGAGCGGTACGCGAGGCCGTCGCCTTGTCGAGCGCGAGGCTTGACGCGCGGTTGGAAGGCCTTGAAGCCAGGCTCCTCCCCGAGCCGCGTCTTCGGCCTCCCCTCGCTTCTGACAGAAGAAAGGAGGCCGCTCAAGGAGCGCAGTTGGCCGCAACAAGGCCTAAACCCAAAACCCCTGCCCCAGAACCCGAGGTGACAACACTAACACCTCCGGCGAACCCTGGTCGACAGGAGAAGAGGAAGAGACGGGAGAAAGTGACTGCTGCGGCGAAGGAGGCGGCAGCCACCAGGAGGGACGGTCCGCCCAAAACTCCGGGCGCAGCTGAGGGCACACCCTCGAAGGAATGGACAAAAGTCTCAAATAGGAAGGGACAGAAGAAGGCAGTTCCGCCGCCGAAAAAGGAGCCCAAACAGAGAAGACTGCGGGCCCCGAAATCGGCAGCAGTGGTCATCACTCTGCAGCCGGAGGCCACAGACCGGGGCGTCTCTTATAAAGACGTCCTGGAAAGGGCCAAGAAGAGGATAGACTTGGCGGCCATGGACATAGGGGCTGTCAAGTTTAAAGTGGCTGTCACCGGGGCGCGCATGCTCGAGGTGTCGGGGTCGGGCTGTAAGGAAAAGGCCAACCTCCTTGCAGACCGGCTTAAAGAAGTGCTGGCAGAGGACGCCCGGATATCCAGGCCGCAGAAGTGCGCCGAACTACGAGTGTCGGGACTCGATGACTCCGCGTCCGCTCCCGAAATAGCGGCCGCCATCGCCAACAGTGGCCTTTGCGCGGCGGAGGAGGTGAAAGTCGGCGAGATTCGGCGCAATCGAGGGCGCGGCACAGCGTGGGTGAGATGCCCAGTGGAGGCCGCCAAAAGAGTGACCGCGAAGGGCTGCAGGACAAATGTCGGGTGGACCGTGGTACGCGTCACCCTACTCGAAACACGGCAGATGCGGTGCTTTAAGTGCCAAGAAGTGGGCCATACGAGGGCAACCTGTCCCAATGAGACGGACCGTAGTGGGCTATGCTTCCGCTGCAGTCAACCAGGTCATCCGGCCACCCAGTGTGAGAATGCACCGCACTGCGTGCTATGCGCCGACAAAGGTCTGCCGGCGACTCACAGCGTCGGAAGCAAGGCCTGTGAGAGGCCTACACCTAAGAAGAAGACGCAAGACAAGAAGAAGGCGAAGGCAAAACCGAATCCCGTCGCCACCACACAGGAGCCCGCCGCCACACCACCTGCAGCGGCGGCTCCAGTGGCCGAGGAGGTCCCAATGGAAGCTCAATAATAGGACTTCATCGATTCCTGCAGGGCAACCTGAACCATTGCGCCCGCTCGCAAGATCTTCTCATTCATCATGCGGCGCAGTGGTCAAGGGATATATGCGTGGTGTGCGAACCATACCGTGTCCTCCCACGAACTGATTGGATCGGAGACGCGGACTCGACGGTCGCCTTAGTTCTCGGCCCTAACATCGCGCCCTTATCTTCTGGGGCAACCTTCAGGGGTCGGGGATACGTCGGCGCTCAACTGGGGACCCTCACCGTGGTGGGGGTGTACTTCTCCCCCAACAGACGTCTCGCGGAGTTCAACTCCTTCCTCCTCTCACTAACGAGCGTGGTAAATGGAGTGTCGGGCCCGGTGATCGTCGCAGGAGACTTCAATGCAAAATCCTCCCTGTGGGGATGCCCTGTAACGGACGCCAGAGGCCGTGTGATGGAACGCTGGATGGCGTCAACGGACCTCGTGTCTGCAAATCGCGGCACTGTCAGCACCTGTGTACGTTGGCAGGGCGAGTCCATTATCGACATCACCCTAGTCAGCTCGTCGGCCGCCCATCGTGTCGCCAACTGGCGGGTGCAGGAGGACACCGAAACCTTGTCGGATCACCGGTTCATCTGCTTCGACGTCATTTCACATACGCCGGAGCCGACCCCCACACTACCATCTAGTGGAGGGCTAAGATGGTCAATGAGACGACTGGACCGTGAACTCCTAGAGGAGGCTGCCGTCGTGGCGTCCTGGGCTCCCCTGCCCTCAAATGAAGCCGCGGCATGTGCGGAGTGGTTGAACGAGGCGTCGCGCAACATCTGCGATGCCTCCATGCCCAGGGTGAACGCAAATGGACGGCGACGACGACAGGCGTATTGGTGGCGGCCCGAGCTATTCCAGCTCCAGCGTGCGTGCACGGCGGCCCGTCGACGCTTCAAGCGCTACCGCAGGCGACGACAGAGGAATGTAGAGGAGGAGGACTCGCTATACCAGGCGTACCGCGAGGCCTGTCTCACTCTCCGCGACGCCATTGTCAAGGCGAAAAGGGAGGCGTGGGAGGACTGGCTGGAACAACTTAACGACGACCCATGGGGCAAGCCCTATAAATGGGTCCGCCAAAAGCTGCGCCCGGCGGCCCCACCACTTACGCAGAATCTCCACCCGGAACTTCTAAACAGAGTCGTCTCGGCCCTATTTCCGTCTGGGGCCGAGCATCAAACACACATTGTGACTCACCGGGAGGACAATTCTGAGGAGGAGGAGGAGGAGGTCATACCACCAGTCACGGCGGAAGAACTGAAGGCAGTGATCCACAAAATGGGCCAAAAGAACACGGCGCCTGGCCTGGACGGAGTTCCGGGCAAGGCGTGGGTCCTCTCCATCCGAGCCCTTGAGTCTCACGTACTTGCCGCACTGACCAATTGTCTGGTCCAGGGTCGAGTACCAAGGCGCTGGAAGACGGGGAAGTTGGTGCTCCTGAAGAAGGCAGGCCGGCCAGAAGATCAGCCGTCGGCGTATCGCCCCATTGTTCTACTGGACGAGATTTGCAAGATCCTTGAGCGCATTCTCGCCACTCGTCTTGTCCAGCATCTCGAACACGTCGGTCCGAACCTGAGCGGGAACCAGCACGGTTTTCGTCCGGGCCGGTCCACCATTGGGGCGGTTGCACGCCTGCGCGACATTGCAGAGGAGGAGGTGTCCCGGGGTGGGGTTGTACTGGCCGTCTCGCTGGATATTTCCAACGCATTTAACTCCCTGCTCTGGGAAGCCATCAGGAACGGCTTGAGGAGACATCGCGTCCCGAAGTACCTGCAAAAGGTGATTGGGGACTACCTCTCAGAGCGCTCAGTCCAATACCCGATTGAGCACGGCTGGGAACAAAAAGAAGTGGTGTGCGGCGTTCCACAGGGGTCGGCTCTCGGCCCCATCTTGTGGAACATCGGATATGACCCCGTGCTCTCCGGCGCCAACCTTTATGGCGTCGAAACAATCGGATACGCGGATGACACGCTGGTCGTGTGTAGGGGCAAGTCCCACCGGGACGTAACCATCCTGGCGACGGCTGCGGTGGCGCAAGTCGTGCGGCGGATTCGGGCGCTGGGCCTCACAGTCGCCCTGGACAAGTCCGAGGCGCTGTTCTTCCACGGACCAAGGAAAAGACCTCCACCCGGATTGGCGGTGGTGATTGGCGGGACTAGGATCGACATATCGTCATCACTGACTTACCTGGGTCTCACCATCGACGGCAGATGGACCTTCAAAGAGCATTTCCGTCGCCTTTCTACAAAGGTCACCAAGGCGGCTGGAGCCCTGGCTTCGTTGCTGCCAAACCTAGGCGGACCGAGCCTCAGCTGCCGGAGGCTATACATGGGGGTCGTGCGCTCCATGGCAATGTACGGAGCGCCGATCTGGGCCCGACAACAACTGGCCCCAGAGAACCGGCTACAACTAAGGAAGCTGCAGAGGGTGATGGCCACCCGAGCAGTCCGCGGCTACCGCACAATATCTGCGGATGCGGCATTCCTGCTCGCGGGAACCGTCCCCTGGGACATAGACGCCAGGTCCCTCGCTGATGTGTACTGGCACTGCGACCGGCTGCGCGCAGAGGGCAGACACCCTCCACCAGACGCCGTGCGTCAGATGAGAAACCTGGCCAAGGATAGGGCGATCACCTTGTGGACTGACCAACTCAGGCAGCCCCGAGTCAGCGTCGCACTGGTGACGGCCATCCGCCCGCTCCTGCGGGAATGGGTGCACAGAAGACACGGCGCGCTCTCCTTCCGACTCACTCAGGTCCTGACGGGGCATGGCTGTTTCGGCAGGTACCTGTGTGATGTCGTGGGAAAAGAAGACACTACGCGATGCCACCAGTGCGGCGACGAAAGGGACACGGCCGAACATACCATCTCAGCCTGTCCTCACTGGACGCGACAACGTGCGGCTCTACGAGCCGCCATCGGATTGGACACCTCGCTGCCAGCGGTCATCAAGGCCATGCTGCGCAGCGACTCGGACTGGACTGCGGTCGCCACCTTCGCCGAGGAGGTGATGACTGCGAAGGAGGAAGACGAGCGCGGCAGAGAGAGGGAGGCGCTCGAAACCTCAAGACGAAGACGGAGGCGACGACGTACGGCCACCAACACCCTTGGTCGTGACATCCCTCCGCCTTAGCCTGGAGTACTCGAGGTGACGGTGTGGGCACACCGCCGCCTCACTGCAACTGCAACGAGTCCCCGAGCGGGCCGTGGTGCGTACACCTCTGCGCACCGCGGAATAGTAGCGGAGAACAAGAGAACGAAGAGGAGACGGCTGGTCAGCTGGCCAGCGGTCACCCGTCGCCGGAGTCGCGGTCGTATGACTGTTCCCGTGGCTTCGGCACTCAGCGGAGAGAGGTTGGGCCTTGGAGGTTTAGTGGGTAGTGGCCGAACGCCTTTAGGTCGAGCCTCACACACCCCCGTGTCACTAAATTTGCCCAGGCACGGGAAGTCCGTAATAGGATTCCTCCAAAAAAAAAAAAAAAAAAAAAAAAAAAAAAAAAAAAAAAAAACTTTATTCATGAAATATTTCATAATAATTTGAAACTACTACAGCAATTTCAGTCGAGTATTTTTCAGTTCAAAAAAATATGTACGTTATAAAATTTATTTCACCGTATTCTATGACCACTGAAGGTTTTTTTTTTTGTTCAAGGCTAAAACAGTCATGAGGGCAAAACGGTCACGGACGGTAGTATGTTAATTAATAAATATTCCACTGAATGTTCGATTTCATATGTACAAGTCTTTAGGTGTAATCTAAATATTTCAAAGATGTTTAAGAATGTTTGAATAAATTGTATTTTTTTTTATATTTGCACTATGCATAAGGAGTAGCACGTTTATGTTGGGTTCATATCAAATAAATATGTTATAATCGTGTTAGACTGGAAAATACAAAATATTAAGCACTTACCTTATTTTTATTTATTTAGCTTTTTAAGTAAAGTTTTGCTTTTATTATTAAATCAAATCTAATTTTTAAATACAAAATATTTGAATAGCGTCCATTGCGGATCAATTATGTATTTGTTTTGTTTGAATCACATTCATATGTCTTTTATTTCTTACTAGTACACCTGGCGAACTCCGTTTCGCCACCAGAAGGCTTTTATATAACATTTCGTTTGGTGATTAAAAGATGAAGATTTTTTTTGTTTTATATTTGAAAAGGAAAATTTTTATTTCATTTCACAACTTAATTAATTCATTTCGATTACAAAAATGAAGTGTTATTTAGTTGAACTTCTCTAAGTAAATGAAAGTGAATCCAAGGTAGATATCGAATCGAAGCGTTATACGTGTCCGCAAATTATCCGTTTCATTGAAGTGCTCCTTTGTAAACCACATTTTTTGTGTTTTGATCTAACTTTAACACAAATAAAGCGTATGGTTTCCAAACTCGTGAACACGCAAAATATAACTGCCCATGTGAAAAACACTGATTTTTTAAATTTATCCCGCAAATACTAAATGGTTTTTGAGTTCAAACTACAAACACATTACCTAAATATTTTTAGTTTTATATAGTAGATTTCTTACAAATATCTAATTGTCATCCATACGTCATTACATATCTGTCATTATACGTCAATTGCATAGCTGTCAATTGTGTTATTCCACGTTTTATAATGACTGACGTTTCATATCAAGTCCCACGGGAAAGCTGTCGAACGGGATAAAAAGTATCCTATTGCAATTTCCTGGTTCTAAACTACCTCCCTGCCAATTTTCAGCTGAATCGGTTCAGCCGTTCTTGGGTTATAAGTGAAGTCACTAACACGACTTTCTTTTATATATATAGATTTATATCTTTTGTATTCTACAGACAATGAAATATAAAATAATAGGCCAAAAATATTACCGTCCTTCAGAAAATTTATATATTTTTTTTTGATAAAAGCTTTTAGTTCTATTTGCAATATCATTACGAAGAAAATGTTGTAAAGAAAACAGAAAAGGAATTTATAGCCTTAGTAAC